AAAATAATAAAAGTTTGACATCTTCCTTTCCAATAAGAATCCCTTGATCTCCTTTTGTTGTCTTATTGATATTGCTAAAACGTCAAGAACTATGTTGAAGAGATATGGAGAGAGTAGGTAGCCTTGTCTTGTTCCTGATTTTAGTGGAACGGCTTTGAGTTTGGATACCTTCTGCCTTCATTTTAGTTGAATTCAAAGATGTCTTTAATTTCTTTCTTTATTTCTTCCTTGACCCAGGGGTGGTTCAGTGGTTCACTGTTCAATTTCCATGAGTTTGTAGGCTTTCTGAGAGTAGTATTGTTGTTAAATTCTAACTTTAATCCATGGTGATCTGATAAGACATGGGGGCTACTCCAAATTTTTTAAATATGTGGATGTTTGTTTTGTTACCGAATATGTGATCAATTTTAGAGAAGGTTCCATGAGGTGCTGAAAAGAAAGTATATTCTTTCCTGTTTGGGTGGAATGTTCTATATATGTCTGCTAAGTCCATTTGGTTAATTCTCTGTTAAGTTTCTGTCTGGTTGACCTGTCCATTGGCAAGAGTAGATTGTTGAAGTCTCCTACTATTAGTGTGTGGGGTTCGATGTGCTATTTAAGTTTTAATAATGTTTCTTTTACATATGTCAGTGCTCTTGTATTAGGGGCATAAATGTTTAGAATTAAGACTACATTTTGATGAATTGTTCCTGTTATGATTATACAGTGTCTTTCTCCATCTCTTCTGAATGATTTTAGTTTGAAATCAAGTTTGTTAGATATTAGGATAGCTATACCTACTTGTTTCCTAGGTTCATTTGATTAGAAAACCTATTCCCAACCCTTTACTCTGAGGTGGTGTCTGTCTTTGACTCTGAGGTGTGTTTCTTGAATACAGCAGAAGGCTGGATCCTGTTTTCATATCCATTCTTTCAGCCTATGTCCTTTTATACGTGAATTGAGTCCATTGATATTAAGCAATATGAATGACAGGTGGTCGTTAATTCCTGTTATTTCTCAGTAGTAGTGTTTCTGTGTTTCCCTTCTTTGGGTTATACTGGTGGTGGGATTATCAGATGCCTGTGTTTTTTTGGTTGAAGTTAGCTTCATTGTTTTGGGGTTTTCATTCTAGTACTTTTTCTGTAGGGTTGGGTTTGTTGATATGTATTATTTAAATTTGGTTTTGTCTTGGAATATCTTGTTTTCTCCTTTGATGGTGATTGAAATCTTTGCTGATTATAACAGTCTGGGCTTGCATCCATTGTCTCTTAGTGTCTGTAGCACATCAGTCCAGGACTTTCTGACTTTCATGATTTCCATTGAGAAGTCAGGTGTAATTCTGATAGGTTTGTCTTTATATGTTACTTGACCTTTTTTCCTTTGTAGCTCTTAATATTCTTTATTTATTTTGTATGTTTTGTGTTTGATTTTTATATGGTGGGTGGATTTTTTTTATCCAGTCTATTGGTGTTCTGTAAGCTTCTTCAACATTCATAAGGATATCCTCCTTTGGGTTGTGAAAGTTTTCTTCTATGATTTTGTTGAATATATTTTCTGTGCCATTGAGCTGCAATTCTTCTCCCTCTTCTACCACTATAATTCTTAGGTTTGGTCTTTTCATGGTATCCCAGATTTCCTGAATGTTCTGTGTTAAGAATCTGTTGGATTTAATATTTTCTTTGATCAATGAGTCTATTTCCTCTATAGTGTATTTAGCACCTGATTGTCTTTCTTCTATCTCTTGTCTCTGTAGTTCCTATTTATTTACCCAGATTATCCATATCCAGGATTCCCTCGGTTTGTGTTTTCTTTATTGCTTCTATTTCAGTTTTCAAGTCTTGAACAGTTTGCTTCACGTGATTGATTGGGTTTTTTTCTTGGTTTTCTTTGAGGAATTTATTGATTTCTTCCATTTTTTTGTTTGTCTTTTCCTCCATTTTTCTAAGGGAGTTTTTCATTTCCTCTTTAAAGGTCTCCATCATTTTCATAAAGTTAGATTTAAAGTTGTTTTCTACTTCTTCTGGGTTAAGATGATTAAGTCTTCCTGTTGTGTGACTACTGGGTTCTGGTGTTACGATGTTGCTTTTCGGGTTATTGGAGGAATTCTTGCATTGACGCCTACCCATCTCTTTCTTTACGTTTTGGTGAAATCCTTGCAGTGGCTGTCTGAGTGTTTGGGAGTTTTTCTCTGTCTGTGCTGTACTGTCCATTTCTGTCTCAGAAAGCCTCTGAGGTCTCTCTAAGCCTGCACTCTTCGTCTTATCTCCTGGTTTTCTCTCTTGGTGCTCTCTCTCTCAATCCTCTCAGTGTTGTAGAAAGCTCTTGATCCCCTCAGTATTATAGCAAGCTCTCAGCTCCTAGGCAGGGTGTGGCTAGTAGCTTGGGGGTCCAGTGGATGGGTTTGGGTTTTGGGGGAACCTACCTGAAGGAAACTCCCTGCTGGCTTGCTAAAAAAGCCTAGGGAGTTTGGGGGAGGTGCCTGGAGTTTTGTTCCATTGTGGAGGTCCTAGAGAGTGGGATGTCCCACCATGTGGCAGTTCACTCAGTCCTTAAGTTCCCTCAGTATTGGAGCAAGCTATGTTTCAGAGTGCCACCAAGGTTGCAGGAAGATAGGCAGGTTGGGGGCAGGGTGTGGCTAGTAGTTTGGATGGGCCTTTGGATAGGTTTGAATTTGAGGGCAGTCTACCCACAGGAAACTCCATGCTGGGTGGCTAGAAAAGCCTAGGGAGTTGGTGGATAGGCCTGGGGTTTTGTCCCAATGTGGAGGTTCAAGTAGGGGAGCATTTTAGGAAGAAGGGTTCAGCAGGAATGGGAATTGATGAGAGAGTAATGGGGTTACCCATGACAAAAATACATTTATGTGTGTGTGTGTGCCAGTATGCATATGAAATTGTCAAATAATGAATTTGAAATATTTTGTAAAGTAGTGGCTTCAATTCGCTTCACTATTTGAAGAAAAAGAAAAATACTCAGAACACAAAATTTCCTCCTGACCTTTTCTTTGAAACCTTAAAAGAGAAAAAAAAAATAGAGAACTGGTCTATCTTCCGAAGGCTTTCTGAGAAACAAAAGGACACAAAAATATTTTTAAATTTTTAAAAGACACAAAAGCATTTTTAAGCTTTAAAAATACTTTGAAAACTTTTGCATGTGACATATGGATTTGTTTTTAAATTCTAGAAGAATTTAGTATGAAAAACTAAAGTTGGAGGAAGATATGGCTCAGCACTTAAGAGCATTGGCTCCTCTTCCAGAGGACCGGGTTCAGTTCCCAGCACCCACATGGCCACTGACAACAGTCTGTAACTCTAAGATCTGACACCCTCACAGAGGCAAAAATTCAGGAAAACTACTACTGTACATAAAATAAGAATTAACAAATTATTTTTTAAAAAAAATCTAAAGTTGTAAAGTTGGTTTTGTGAAAGAGTATTGACATTCATGCTCTTGTCAAATTTACTTAGTGAGTGTACTGAATAATTTTACATCAATTTGACACAGGCTAGAGTCATACGAGAACACTAAATGAGAAAATGCCTCCTTAATGTCGGGCCATATGCAAGCCTGAAGAGCATTTTCTTAATTAGTGACTGATAGTGGAGGGTTCAGCCCATTGTGGGTAGAGCCATCCCTGGGCTCCTGATCCTGGGTTCTGTAAGAAAGCAGATGGAATAAGCCATGAGGAGCAAGCAGTAAGCAGTACTCCATGGCTTCTGCATCAGCTCCTGCATCCAGGTTCCTGCTTTCTTTGACTTCCTGTCCTGATGTCCTTCAGTGATGAACAGTGATGTGGAAGTAAGAGCTAAATAAACCCGTTCCTCCCCCAAGTTCCTTTTGATCATGATGTTTCATCACAGCAATAGCAACCCTCAGACAGCACGTTTATGAATTAAAATGACAAACTGGAAGGACCACCTACAGAACAGAAAACCATATTTGTAAGTCATATATGATATGATATGATATGATACAGAGTAAACAACTGTAAAACTCAGGAAAACAGTGACCCCTGCTCATCAGGGAAAAGTGAATTGAAAGTTCTGTGAGACACCAGCTCACCCAGGTACATTCTAACTCAAAGGCAGCTGCACACTGGGACCTTCCCTGGGAAACCTTGTGCTCAGCTCCACTACAGCCTCTGGAGCTTAGCTACCATCCTTGTGACAGCACAGACATGAGCTGCAGGTCTCCTCATGGATACAAGGGGGCGACAAGAAACCATATAATCAGCAGGGAACTTCACTGAGACCTGAACATATCTTGCAGCCTTGTCTCCATCCCAGTTCCAACAGACCTGGACCTCCCTCACATAATCATTTCTTGTGTCTCTGAGAATCCAACTCTACAAGGAGACCCTGTGTAGTCCCCTCCCCATCACAACACCCATGAGGAAAAACAGGGAGTTTACAGGGCAGTCACCAAGGAGAACAAAGGCATCCCAGAAGAGTCAGGGAGGGCATGGGCAAACCTGATTCACACTTAGCAAGCACAGAGAGCTGGGGGGAGGGGAGTCTCCCTGGGGCTCTCCATAGGAAGCTGGAGCACACAGTCCTCTTTCTAGGACACAGGTCACCTCCTCCTGCATGTCAGGATGTGAACCCCAGAGATAACTTGTATCCCTGGATCAGACACCTGACTGGTGAGAGCAATGACCATGGATCTGGTTCCTCCCCAGTCATCACTCAGACCTTTTCCAGCCCCTAGAGAAAACTGCCACTCCCTCCCCGGAGTAACTCCCACTTTCCCAGAGCATTGAGATCACAGGGCAGACTGGGCTCTGCTGGGCTTTTGTGTCACAAGGAAATACACTCTTGGCTATAGGAAGTACAGGGAGAAGGCCCTAGGATGAGCCACTGTTCTCTTGGGGCACAGGACACTTCTCAACATTGTGGCTCAAAGTATGTTCTAGAACACTGAACCAGAAAGAAAGGAATAGAAGGATGGGGGGCAGCACTGACACACAGACTCCACCCCCAACCCATGTGACTCCAGGAGGTGTCCTCCTCTGGGAGGAGGCTCAAGTCTTAGAATAAAAGCAGAGCAGACACAGAGCAGGCAGGCTTGACAACAGCCTGAGAGGCAAACCTCCTGTTCAGAGGAAGAGCCTAGGCCACAGCAGAGACATGGAGCTCTCCTCAGCCCTTCTCCACAAAGGGCAGCTACCCTGGAGGGGACTCCTGCTGACAGGTGAGGAGACATTCCTCGGGGTGTGGACAGCAGGGGAGCTCAGAGACTGGATGGGGTCTTCTGGGAGGGGGACTGTGCCTGAGAGGAGACATCTGGTTTCTGCTTGAAGCCTGAGAGCAACAGGAAGCTCACAGTGAATGTGAATTGGTAAGTGGGGAGGAAAACTCAGGGGTTCCCCATTGCAAGTTTATCAGTACTGGCCTCTGTACCCTGAAGACTGACTCCCACAACTGTGTCAGGGTGACTCTCTAAGTGAAACTCAAACTGGGGCCTGTAAACAGGGTCATTTCATACATATGACCCTGAGGAATCCACAAGTAAACCCCAGGTGCTGGGACACTGGTTTGCTCACAGTTGTCTGAGCCACTTCCAGGCAGTGTTGTTTATCCAAAATCAAACCAGTTCTCCTCACCGAGTCCTGGGCAGGAAGACAGAGCAGCAAGGACATCTAGAAGGTGGGGTTGTGGTTGACAAGGACTTCAGAAGAAACAGAGCTGGGAAGGTCAGAAAATAAAGGCTGGAATCTTTAGAGGAGGAGGTCAGAGAAGACATGCCTACACTCACCAAAGATTCTGAGTGTGAGCAGGGATCTGAGGGAGTGAGGGGTGAGCTGTGCAGACACCTGAGAAGACAGTTTCATTCAGTGGAAAGATTCAGGGGTACAGAGGAATGGGGGTGATTCTGCCGACCTCACTCAAATATGACACACACACACCAAGGCTGAGAGTTTAACATGCTCAGGTCTCAATTTCTACCAAATGCAAAGATCTAATATTGATAGATTTTTCTCTCTTCCCTCTTAGCCTCACTTTTGATCTACTGGAGCTCTCCCACCACGGCCAACGTCACTGTGGAACCAGTTCCGCCCCATGTTGCTGAAGGGGCGAATGTTCTTCTACTTGTCCACAATCTGTCAGAGACACCCCAAGTCTTTTACTGGCACAAGGGAGAAAATCCGGATAACAGTAATGAAATTGCACGATTTATAACGTCAGATAATGTAAATACAGCAGGGCCTGCATACAGTGGCAGAGAGACAATATACCCCAATGGATCCCTGCTCTTCCAGAACGTCACTCAGAAAGACACTGGAGCCTACATGTTGCGAATGCTAATGCAAAGCTATGATGATAAGAAAGTATCCGTGCAGTTCCATGTCCACCGTAAGTAATTCTCTGTAACCTCTGGGTCATGGGTAGACTTAATCCTACTTCACACATAGAATTGTCAGTGCTGGATGACTCTGTGTTATGGTCCCCACATTGTGGTTCATCATTTAGTAAAGGACACGGAGTGGAGGAAACAGCAATAAATCAGGATCCCTAACTTGAATCCACCCTCTGAGAGAGAAGGTGAGGTAACTCAGCCCAGGCATCTCAGAATCTGCCCAGGGTCTTAGATGCTCATCATGAACATGGCCTTAAGAAAGACTCTTCAGGACACAGGCAGGGCCTGGCTGAGAAAACCATGAAATTCTCACAGAGACATGAATACCTGGAGCTTTGCTCCAGACCTCCATCCCAGACTGGACCAGGAATCCTGAGAAGCTTGTAGACTGGGTTTGAATTTGACCTCCTGTTGGAACTGACAGGGGACAATGATTGATTGTAGGCTGGTAGTCTGCTGACCGTGAACCTGTGAGAGCCATGTCTGAGACAGATCACGTGGGCATCTCCTCCTGAGACTCATTATGCTCAGCATAGGTGGAGGGGTATGAAAGGCAACCAGCCGAGTGTCCTGATGGTCTTCTGAGACCTCAAAGGAAGGCGGAGAGCCCTAAAGAGATGGGAGAAAAGTGTACAAATGGCAGGTCCTTGCCTCTGGGGGTTCAGCCCTGGGATTATTTCCAGCAGGCAAATAGTAAGAGACACTGCTTGGTGGAAGGTCAGGTCATTGCTCACATTTCAGGTGAACTTGTAGGCAATGATCATTTACCCTGTGCCCTATTCTAGGGAAACTGAGACAGGAAACACAGTCGGTGAGTCAGGGTCACACAGGCCATGGGTGGCACAAGCTATCTGTCCACAGCCACATCTCCAGCCTCCCCACCATGGAGACTCTATTAGGTGCCCCTGAGTCTTATAGTTCATTTCCTAGACTCGGGCTTCTTTTATGATTCCCTGATTCATGTCAATCAACATCAAACTCCTGACAAGAATGGCCCATCTGAAGCCCAGCTTGACCTGAATGGCAACCAGATCCTGATCTGTGTGGGATCTCTGACGGGCTGTCAGGTTCTCAGGGAAGCTCAATGTGAAGACTAATCATGACCTATCTGTAGGAGAGCCCTGAGCAGCAAAGGCTTGGAGGGCGCTGGTCCTCACTGAGCAGGGGAGATCAGGGCAGCTGGAGGGACTTACACATTGTGTCCCAAGACATGCAATGCATCAGTGAGGACCAGGAGATAACATGAGGTCTCTGATTCCAAGTCTCGAGTCTGTCCATCACCACACACTGCAGCTCAATTCCCTCCTGGGAAAGCCCTTGCTTCTCCCATACACAACACAGGAGACCCCATTGTTTCTGAGAGCTCAGCTACTCCATCTGCCTGTAATTTGCTTCCTGCATGATTCTTTAAGGATCTGGGTTTGTGGGGAGCTAAGAGACCATCTCAGAATAATCAGAATCTGGAGTAGTGCAGAAATCTGGTGAAGGATAATTCTAAATGGTCAAGAACTGGTTTTACAGACATCCACACCTGAAATTTTAGTTTTCTGACATTTTCTGGATGGTTTTAAACTGATTGTTGTTTGATAAAAACAAACAAACTAACAAACAAAAATTATGTTTGTTAGAAGTACTAGATTATTAGATTTCCAAAAACTTCTAGAAATGCCAAAACACTTAATAACTTCTTCAATTGATGTTAAGGCTACATAATTATAGTTTATTTAAAATAAAAGCATATTCTTCCATAACTTAGATCTTATGACAGACTCTCAGATGTCATTTTTGTTCAATTTGATAAATTAATTTTTAAATTTAATTTTCACTTTGAATAGAAAACAAATTGACACAGGTTCAAACATTATCACAAAGGCTCAAATAAACACCTCCAACTGTACTTTTTAAAAAAAATAAGAGAGGCTCATGCAAGAATCAGAGGCACCACACAAGGCAACCTTCTCTCTGTTGTCCGCACACACAGCACTGCTACCCAAGCCCAGCATCACAAGCAACAATTCCAATCCCATGGAGGGTGACGACTCAGTCGCATTAATGTGTGAGCCTGAGACTGAGAATACAAGCTACCTGTGGAGGAGAAATGGCCAAAGCCTCTCAGAAGGTGACAGGCTGAAGCTGTCTGAGGACAACAGGACTCTCACTTTACTCAGTGTTGTGAGGAATGACACAGGAGCCTATGAGTGTGAAACCCGGAACCCAGTGAGCATCTCCCGAAGTGACCCATTCACTCTGAACATTAC